GCTCAGTCTGTTTTGCGTCGACAGCATCCGTATCGACCTCCATTGGGTCGCTCTCTAACGTTGTATTACCCGAGCTGGCTGGGCCAGCCGGGCCATCAGGCTGTGCAGGATTATGCACTGCCTCCTCCGCTCTGGCTGGGCCAGGCGGAGCACTGGCAGCATCGGCGTCTTTATCCTGATCAAAGTCAGGAAGCTCCTCTGCCGCGGCTGAGCCGGGCAGTGGCGCCGACGCTCCTCCAACCACGGCTGGGCCGGGTGGAGTTTTAGGTACATCTACTGCCGAGGCCGTGCTGGGCGGACATGGAAGCGCTTCCTCTGCCGCCGCAGCTGAGCCGGGAAGAGGCGCAGGAGGAGCAGTCGCCATGAACCCACCTATGATCGCGCCGCTCTCTTTGCGAGGCTGTGAGCTCTCGCTTTTGGCGGCAATCTCAGGAGTGGGAATGAAATCGAGCACCTTGCCATGGATAGAGCCCGCAACGGCGGCTGCAAATTTCTTCCACGGATTTGAATAATCACCTTGCTCATGCGCGTTCCTGTTCCGGGCAATCATGTATTTACGCTTTGCGGCGTCAGTGTCAACCTCCATTAGCTGCAAATTGTCAGGATCTTCCTCTACCGATGGGTCCTGGGAAATGGCATTCCTCTTCTGATCGAAGAAGTCACGTTCTTGCTTAAGGGCCTTGCGGGCACGTTCTCCGTCAAAGTGATAATGCGAAACTTCTTTGATGGATCGGGCAATGCGGGCTGCAGCGTCGTCCCCCTCTGGAGCCGGGGACTCCTCAGAGGAGGGGTCCCCGTCCGGCTGAGGCGGGGGAGGGGCTGCAGGAGTGTCCAGTCCTTCAGTGCCTCCGGGGCGGTTCGAGCCCCCATCCTCGGCATTCTTGGCCTCCACTTTAGCGATCTCAGCCCTCGCCGGTGGGCTTGCCCCAGCACCGCCTTGGGCGGGCGGGGAAGTCGAAGGAAAAGGCTTAAATTGTGGCTGCAAAGGTGCAGCCTTGGGCGCAGCGTTGTCTTGCTGAAGCCGCGCATCAGTGTATTCTGAGCGCCGAACGGACCATCTAGCACTCTTAGGCCCAGGCGGAGGCGAAGGAAGACGCGCGGCCCGCATGCTCTGAGGTGTTGGCCAGGCCTTAGGCTTTACTTCCGTCGTCACTGCGCCTGCCAGCTTGACCGGTGGCTGTGCAGCCGTAGGTGCTGCACTAGCTGGCCTGGCCGGTGGCCGCTCCGCTGTCGGTGCGGCGCTAGTCGACCGTGCTGCTGGGTGTTCTGCTTCAGCAGCAGCGCCAGCCGGTTTGGCCGGTGGCGGCTCCGCCTTTGGAGCAACGTTCATCGGCCTGAACGGTGGCGGATCCTTTTTCGGCATGATGTTCGCTGGCTTAGCCGGTGGCGGTTCCTTCTTCGGCATAACGTTCGCCGGCTTGGCCGGTGGCGGCGCCATCTTTGGCGTGACATCTGCCCGCATGTCTGGCAGCGGCGCCTCCCTTGGCGGAGGCGGAGGCACTTCCACGTTCGCGGCTGCGCTTGGTGGAGGAGGAGGCACCCCCTCCGCCGCGGCTGGGCTGGGCGGAGAATGAGGCACTCCCCCTGCCTGCGGCGCCGGCCGCCCCAAAGGGGGAAAATTCTCGGTCGCGAATGAAAGCGAGGCGCCGGACGGCTTGGCCGCCTGCGCCTGGGCGTGAACATCAATCGATGTTTTGTCTTTGGCCTTTTCTTCATTGTCTCTATTAGCCCGAACGAGCGCCTTGGAATCTTCCGAGGCTTCGTCTTTATGCAATGGGTTGATCCTGGTCATGATAAATCCCTTGCTTTGAAGCCACGGCCAAACTTCGTCATGCGCTGGGCTATATGGCCGGTATGGGCTACGATCCTTTTGCCACTTGATGGGCCCCAAGTTTGGCACCCGCTCTCTCTGCGCCTCGCGGACTTGGTCCGTGGCGGCTATTCTCGCATCGTCGCGATAACGTTCAACCCCGAAGTCTTGCACCAGGGCCCAGTTTTCTTTTCTGGCGACATGCTGCGGGAGAGCGTAAGCCTGAGTGACATGAAGGGCCGCGGGCGTCCAATGGTACAAGCGGATTTCACTGAACACCATCTGGGATGGGTTAAGCGTGCAAAATTGCGAAGGCTTGCCCTTGATCTCTCTGGGCTTTGCTTAGAAAGTAATCTCCGCCGTTGCCCAGATGCCATCTCCAAACGTCTCCTCGGCGACAGAATAAACTGCGTGCGTAGAGGGATCGTTAACACACGGGAAAGAATACACGCCCACGTTCCCCATTTTGATGCTCCCGCCGTAACGAGGATCCGATGGAAGCAGCTGATGGCCCTCCAATATCGACTGGAGGGCATTCACAGACGTACCGTGGGACTGTCTGCTCCACCCTGAGGTCGGATCTTGGACCTCATTGAGCTTCTCCGTCGTTGCGAAGAAGGGCAAAGTGAGCTGTGTGCAGTGTAAGTTCCCTGCCTTGTGAGTCTTGGTTGACAACTGCGCCCAGTCCAGGCGATCAGCAATTGCGGCCTCAGGGTCCTCGCATGATCGAACGGCCTGGTTGACAAAGAACCGTGCCCAATTAGGAACCATATAAGAAGGGTCAAGGAGAGGGGTCTTCGTTGACGTCTGCAGCATCTGGTGACCCAACCAAGCTTCGCCCGTGGCATGAATCTGGAGGGTCTTGAACTCTCTACTGCGGGCCAGATCTTTTCCGGCCGCCACCTGTGCAACTCGGTCCTCCTCCCCTGGGTAGGAGTTCGTCGGGCACATGGGCCTGCTGAATTTGCCGCTCTTCACAGTGAACGGTCGAAGAAAATCGAAGTACTGTGGATCCTTGCTCGAAGGATCGAGATAGGGCAATCTCATAGTGGTCTGATACAACTGGTGCACAAACCAATCATTCTCCCAATCGTTATTGTTGTCAGGATTGCCGCCGACTTTGAGGCGCTTGGGGAAGCGCTTTCCGCTGAGCCTTCCTCCCCCGCCGGCAGGGCATTTCTTGCGGATGGCCTCCTCCGCCTCTTCGCCGGGCGTCTTGGCGGCCTGTGCGCAATTCACAGGGGCAATTACAGGATCGCGGGGCGGCTGGGCCGCCCGTTCTGCAGTGACTTCACCCGAAGCGGCTTGGCCGCTGGGTTTGGCAATAGGCACTATTTTCGACAGCTCCTCTGACACGGCGCGCATGTATTGATTGTTCTCAACTCCCTCCGTAGACAATCGGAGGCGTTCCCCTTTCGGGGGCATGCCTGGACAAAAGGGAAGACTTCGTGGCAGGAAATATCGCTGTTCCCGCCACACAGAAAACTCCTTGCGCGCATTTCCCCGTCTGAGAAAATTAATGAATTGGCCCGAGAGCTTGGAATGAATGGCCCCGTCCCCTGATCCGTCTGGGACGGCAGGAAACTTCGCGGGTTTCAGGGGTGCCCGAAACGGACGAGTGTTGAACGCGGACTTGGGCACGTTATTCTCAGTGGGGCTCCACTCTTGCCAGTGCCTGACCAGCTCTTTGAAGGTCGCCTCCTCTCTTGTGTGCCCGTCCTCTCGTCTCTTCGTCGAGGGAGTGCCCCCCGCTAATCTGGAGGGGTAAAGTTCTAACCGCAACCCTGGGGCAGGGTAACCTGCCACAGGGGCACCCCCGATTCCGAGACCTCGAAGCATCTCGGAAGACCTCAAGCGGCCACTGCCCCATGGTGCCCGAGAAATCCAATCGGAGCAATACTAACCTTTAACACCTAGCAGCCTCAGACTTTAAAATTTAGCAGCGGTGGTAACACCGCTAATTGTTAACAAGCCATACACGCTCGTAAGTGCAGTGGGGCGAAGGCGGCAAGCGCGAAGCGCGATTCACAAATCCAGTGGCACGCGAAGCGTGGCAAATCATATTCCGCAAACGCATGGCTCTCCGACGCAATCTTCTCAAACCGAAGGGGAAATGGAGAGAGGGGCGGGGCCGAGGGGAGGGGGGAAATGACGAGGAAGGAACGAGGATAAACATGATTATGAAGATCATGATGATGGGGAGGGTGGGGTCCAGGAGACAACGATGAAGAGGAAGACGAGGGGGGAAGCATGAAGAGGACGATAGGAGGCCAATGAGAAGAAGGAGGGCGGTGCGGAGGAGGACGCTTCTAAGAGTGAGGTGTATGCATGTTTCACTATCTCTGTCAAGCACCCCTCTGTCCAACTGCTCCCCCGATCGCGCCAACTCACGGCGGCGCGCGAGCAGCGGCGCAGACGTGCGCGCGAAGGCCTCCCCACGGCCCACTGACGCAAGTGCTTTTCAACAAAGCCTACGACCTAACACAACTCACATCGACATGCACGCAGTCGGCGTCGACCGCATCACCGAGACGAGGCCCTGGAATCAGAAGGTCTTGGAGAACCAAACTTGTTTGTGTGTGTGCGTGTTTCGACATGTGTGTGATGACTCAACTATTCAAGTTATCGCGTGGGCCTGAAATTGACAAGCGTGCACAGCAACAGCACACTAAATTATTTGGAATTCGAATGCACACCTAGACAACTCTAGGACGTACAGCGTGCTGGGACATGTTTTAGTTCGCCTATGTTATGGTAGTTAGGTGTTTCACGCACTGTTGTCCCAGCCACGCGCACCGTTTCAATGTGGGAGGGCACCGTCCCCATCAGCTGCGAAGAGGCCGACGATGGGGCAGTCTGTAATCTGCCCCCCGTTGATCTGGTAAAAAACGCCCAGAGATCCCGCTAACAGTTGATCGCAACACCACGCTGGCCATAAACCTGCCAAGCGTAGCTCTTCCTAGGGAACGGGGGAAGGTGGCACATCCAAGCGTGACTGTAATTGGACCTCCATATATGCCCCCCGTTGGGGCACAATCCCCTCAGCTGATGCTGCTCCAGCACGCCGTCGTGAAGTGGGCCAGCAGGCCCACCGCCACCACCGCCAGCGCCACCAGCGGCGGCCCCCACGCGGCCAGCACCCTTGCCTCTGCCCCTGCCCTTGCCCTTCGCCTTAGCTTTGGGATCGGGCCTGACCTTCTCGCGCATCTTGGCGTACTCCTTGATGTAGTCAGTCAAGACCTCCTTCGAATATTCGCTTCTCTTCCTGGTCTCCTGCAGCTTGCCGAAGTCGCCCCTGTCCAAGCAGACGAGCTGGTCCTCGAAGTCCAAGAGGTCATAGATGGAGTCGCATACTCTGGAGTGCATCTTCGTGGGCCTCTTAGCCAGGATATCGAGAATAGCACTCTCCGAAATAGGGTTCAAGATATTGTTGATCAGGGCGACCAGGGTGCCGAAGAGGCCAGCGCCTGGATCCACCCCGACCCGAAGGTGAGCCGCCAGCCTCTGCAACACAGGCAGTCTCACGCTATTGAACGCAACTCTGGCCAGCGCCTTGAGGATGTGCTCGAAGCTGTGGCCGTCGACCTTGCGGAGTCCAATGCGTCCAAGGTCGGTTGCGCCAGCATCGCCGCCGAAGCCGCAACTCCTGCGCAAAGTCAATGGTGATTGCACCGTGATGCAACAGCCCTCCCAATCATCAAGGCTGACGACGGCCTGGTACAAGTCTAGAGGATCAGCAGGTCGCACGGGTGCAAAAACTGCGCCCCCATTCGGGATGGCCATCTCCTTGAAGGGGAACATGACCACGACAGAGTCGGGCATGCACCCGCACGGAAGCATTGGCACCGAGGCCGCGTCACCTGCTTCCTTCTTCCTTGCCATGACCGCCACGCAGTCGTGCATGAGGCCGCCGAGCCAACGGTGCTGCATCATGTTCATCTTTCCTGACCGAAGGGCGAAGTCGATGAGAACTAAATCGCCGTAAGGCACAGACCACGCATCGCTCCTAGGAGACGGCCAGGAGGTCTTCTGCTTTTACGAGATGATCTTGTGAAGCTCCTTCGGCGTATCCTTGGCCTTGGTCTTGAAACAGCCATCTGGTACAGACATGTCCCTGGCCACCGGTTGAAACGAAGGCTGTGCTTCAATAAATTTGTGGCGAGTCGAAAGAACCTTGGATTTCACCAGTCCTCTCCAGGCTCTCTGGACACTGCCTTGGCGGTTCTTGTATTTCGGCATATTCTTCTGCACGTTGAACGCGTCCTCGTCGACCTGGCTCGCGATAAGTTTGGTGTGTATTTTCCTTGAGAAGTCCACGACGTCCTGAGTGATGGTGAAGTCGGCCTCCTTCAACACCCTGTACACCTGCTCCTCGGACACGCGCTTGAAGACGCGGCGGTCGACGACGGCCTGGAGGTCGGGCGTGTGCTCCACGACGTTGATGCACTCGTCGTACTGGTCGCGGCACCTGCGGATATAAGCGGCAGCGTCCTTGGCGTCGTCGCCACCGCGCGTCAACAGCGCGGACCTTGAAGAGGGTCCCAACAACAGCCACCCCATCCTCATCGAGCGATAGTACGTGGTGCCCATATTCAAGTGGAAGAGGGTGAAGGCCAAGTAGTCCTCGTCCTCGTCGCAATCCTCAGGGTCAAATGAATTCAGCTCGGCCACGGTCGTCGGGACGTGGAAGCCGCTCTCCTTCATCACTCGCTCATTGCAAAGGTCGGCCCAACCCGCAAACATGGCATCGATGAAGTTTGAGCGGGGCTCACTCACGATCCAGTCCGCAGAAACGAAGCAAGACCTCAGCTCAGCGTTCTGCTTGCTGTGCCACTTGTCCCAATGCAGAGTGCCCTGGCATATGATGTGGTCCTTGCGCTTGCACGACGGGTCGAGCATGCTGATGCCAGCGATGGCCATCTGATTGAGGCAAGCCCTAGCGAAGTCCAGCTCGACTTTGTCCGTGTTCTTCTTAACGTTGGCCGTCTTCTCGTCGGCAGGCGCGTCCAGTCTCTTCAAGGCCGCCTGGCTGCTCAGCAGGTCGAGCTCGAGGCACGTGGTGAGGGCGCAGAACCTCTTGGCATTGTAATCGTTAAGCTCCTTCCTGATGCGGCGATTGATTTCCATTAACCTGCCCATAACAGCTTTGCCACCACGTTTTACCAAGGGGCTGCTCTCTGGAATAGCGTCCCACAGTAGCTGGCCGCAGTCCTCGTCACCACGGATGTCCTTCGCCGACGGGTCCGCCAACATGTCGTTCATCATCTCCTGGAACAACGCGTTCTTGTCAGGGGAGCTGGCCTCAAACGTGTCCTGGGGGCATTGCTGCATGCGCTTGAAGTGGGTGTCTTCCGACCAGGGCCCGTTCGCGAAGTTGATGCAGATGACGTCGGACAGCAAATGATCGAACAACCCAGCGAACTTGAGGCTGTTGCACATGTCGTCGTGAACACCGTGCGAGGGGTCAGGGATCGCGTCGATGCAGCCTCCGCTGCATCATTCAGAAGTGAACTGCCTGCGCCGACCAGCCCGAACAACGTAAACACATGCCGTCGTTTCGCCCACCAGGGTGAGGGGGTGATGCTAGGTATGGTACTAACTTAGGTGTGCGTTTCTGTTGCGTGAGGTGCCCCATCCCCTTTCCCCCGTCACCTTGCCCAATCACCCCTAACGACGGCTTGTGTTTAGTTGCCCAACGTGTGGTTCGAACAATGCAGCGGGCCTCGCAACTGGTGAATCCAGTAGCTCAGGGCGCTAACTCCGTCCGATCCGAGGTCACAGGCGGCCGAGATCCTCGGCCACTTCAGCGCTGGCTCGCGCGTGGAGATGTCCTCTGGCTGGCTGTATGTCTGCAGGCCGCCGTCGATGCTGAATGACTTGACCTGGTTGCCGAGAGCAGCGAGCCACTGGAAGGCTGACTTGCGGCGAACTTTCTTCGGCTTGAACGTGGCTGATTCGTCTAGCTTCCTCTTCAACCAGGCGCGCTGCAGATCCCTCTGGGCGGGTGCTGCGTCGCCGCCGGCGTCGGACAGGATGCTCGCCATGGTACTGTGGCCTGTGAAGTCGGCGATGTCCTCAAGGAGCTGGGTGCACTGGCTTGTGCTAGCTCCCCCCCCCCCAGAAAAGAAGCCCCCTTCCCCCTCCTCCTCCTCCTCCTCCTCCTCCCCCTCCTCCTCCTCCTCCTCATCCCCCTCCTCCTCCTCCTCCTCCTCCTCCTCCTCCTCGCCCCCCTCCCCCCTCCACCTCGGTGCAGCCAGCGGGGCCTATAAGAAAATTCCCCGTGGGGGCTGCGGGGGACTCCCTAGGGCTGGGCGGTTACAACCATTTGATGGCATGGTCAGGTGTATACCATCAAACGGTTGTAACCGCCCAGCCCTCGGACCCCCCCCCCCGCCCCCCAACGCTTGGGGAGCGGAGGAAGCACATAGGCAGCAGCCGCGTTGATCGCCCCGTTGGTCCTGCGTGGGGGCCCACCAGGCGACCCCATCTGGTGTCGCGAAGGCGGTGTTCTGCAGCCCCATGCCCCTCACGCGAGACTTGTCGGTGGCGGAACTCAAAAACTGTACGCCACATTGATCTATGTGGGCCTTGCAGCCGAGCAAATACAGTGCGTTCTCATGGCCGACTTGAGCTTCCGAGGTGTTGCAGTCGTCTGGGCTCGAGGCTTCGAAGTCGTCGAACCGCTGGCCGTGGTCCAGGCTCGTGCTGATAGCATTCTCGACGTACTCGCCTACTCGCCAGCAGATCTGGGAGTACGTGCTCATGCAGTGGACCGACGGCGCGATGGCCTCCAAGAACGTCATGATGCGGATGTCCTGGCCGTTGATATTCTCCTTCTCCAAATACGTGCAGAAGCGGACCGCCTCGACGCCGTCGGCCCTCATGCGGTTCTTCTGGAAGATGCTCAAGTCGAGGCTACTGCCGTCAATCTTCACGTGGAACGGGCCTCTGTCGCCAATGATCTGACCGAAGGGTGTTCGCCTGACGTTCTTGAAGTAGAGCGGTATCGTAGATCTCCCACGCATCGCTATCTTCATCATTGTCCCGATGATCAGCTTGGCAGAGGCCTGGTCCTTCTCCTGCGAGAAGCCACCCTGCTGCTGCGAACAAAATGCCCAGCGACAACACATCGCAAACAAGGCCTCTGTCGAGACAGACGGCCACTTCAATACTCTCGTAGGGTCGTCCCCATGCTTCTTCCTGTCGGGCTCAGTCTGCACGGACTTCTCGACGCTCGTGATGCCGAGCTTCTTCAAATACTTTTCCCATGAAGGCCAGTACCTCGCTGCCCAGACACTGCCGCTGGCAGTAGTTCGACCCAAGTCCAGCATATTGAACACGTCCTTCACTACGACATAAAAATTGGCGAACTTACGTTTAACTCCAAACCGAAAAACAACAAGTGTGACTCGTGCACCTCCGACACCTGTCTTCATCCGAACGACGTGGGAGGTGTGGCGCGACACGGCTTCTGATAATGAGTATATCCCGAAGTAATCGTTGGCTTCCTTACATATCAATACTTTGGCATTGGTTGCCTTGGTCGTGTACTCGAGCGAAATGAATCCAAGCGCGTGGTTGACTTCCCAGGCGTGCCCATCACCGTCGACGCCCTCGGGCAGCACCTCGAATATAATCGCGGGGGCGCCGTCCAACCCAAACTCGACGTCGAATGTGCTGAGGTTATGAGTCTGCTCCAACTTCACCCATTCGCACGTCGTCGAGAGGGCAACGAACCATCGGCCCTCGACGCGATCCCGAAACACGTTGAGCGTCCCCTCCAAGGCGCTGAGCTCGTAGTCTGTCCACTCGAGGCCCTGAGGTGGGTGCGCGGCGTCGCTCGTAGTCGTGGCTGGCGCGACGTCGTCGGGGGGCGGGTCAGCAGGAGGTGGAAGCGGTGGCGCCACTGGCACTGGCACAAGTGCGAGTTGAAGGTGATCGAAATCAAGGACGCCTGGTGGAGCAGCATCTCCAGACCCAGCAGCCTCGCCCATGTGGAAGGGCCTCTCATCGTCGGGCAAGTCGGTCCACTCGTTGTACTGCATCAACGCCAGCTCCATCTCCTCGATCGTGAACTGCACCCCCTTGATGTTGAGGGCCTGTCCTTTCTCAATGCGCGCGAGAAGGCGATCCTTGTCAGCGGGGTGCTTCTTGAGGCAAGACACGAGCTTCGCCACCCGAAACTCTGGTGTTGTTACTGGCGGCGGCATCGCCACGCTGGTACATGTGCGCCCTGCGAAATGAACTTGCACAAATAGCTTGGGCCAAAACGGCTACGATGGGAGTGGGATCGGTGGCCGTTGGTACATGGGGACGTATCTGATCAACACGGGTGCCCGAGGCAGATGCCCCTTCCCCGCCAGGAAGGCAAGCGGCATGACCGCGAGCAGGGGTGACCACCAAGGTTTTTTTTTTTTTTTTTTTTTTTTTTTGTTGTTCCATCATCAGTCCCTTGCCCATCGGCCCCGAAAGGACCCCAGCGAGCACCCGAGCCAACCTGCGATGCACCTGCCTACAGGTAACCCCGACGCCCCTGCAGCCTTGCGCACATGGCATTCTGGGCTTACTACATCACTACGTAGCTACACGATTACGCTCATCTGATTCGCTACGTGCCCCAGCCGTGTGACAGATAACCCGTCCTTCCTCCGCATCGCCCCCCCCGGCCGCCCCACCCCTCCCCCTGTTCCCCAACTCCCCGCGCTGCCCCGCCACGCCCCCGCACCTACCCCCGCAAAAAGGTGTCTGAATGACCAGACCCCCAAATCCTCTCCTCCATATCCTTCCTCCCACCTCCCGTCCGACCCCCCGGCCTCCACGCGCGCTGCTCACCCCTGGCTGCGCCGCGCTGCGCATCGACGCAGCGATGCGGAGTAGGAGAATAATGACGAGGAGTAGGAGTAGGACGACGGAGATGGATAACGAGTAGGAGAAGGACGAGGAGGCGACGGAGGGGTGGATCAGGAGTGGGAGGTCGACTACACGACTGCTAGAGATGGACCAACACATGTTCTCGAGAGTGGATGGCGGGACCCAGAAGCTCTAGCCACTCTGAGTGTTCAGCACGAGCTCGACATCTATACAGAACTGTCGCGCTGCAGCGTAAAGCTCACCGTATCGCTGTGATCTCGCTGCGACGCGAGCTGCTCGCGACGGCAGTCCAGCCGACGAGACAATGGAGGAAGTGAGCGATCGCGCTGTGCACCAGCGCAGTGCGAGGGCCACGGCGCGGAGAAGGCCGAGCGAGGGCGCGCGCTGGAACCCCGCGCGCGCTGCACCGTCGAGCTCACAGCCTAGAGCCACGCAACATAGCCAACGCAACAAAGCTGGCTGCTACAACTGCGTGCCCGACCTCACGATGGAGTATCATCCTTTTTGTCCCATGACAGCATGCGGATGGACTCGGACGACTTGGTGGCGAGGCGCTTCCTCGCCTTCTGCAGGGCCTCCTCCCTCCTGCGCTTCTCGCGGGTGTCCAAACTCACGAGAGATGGCCCATTCGTGAGCGCCATAACTTGTTGCTGCCTGGCCGAGATCTCGGCAGCAGCACCAGTGTACAGGTCGATCAGCATCTTGCCCTTCTTGTCGATGCGATACTTGTTCGGCCCATGCTGGAGAGAGAACCAGTCCTTGCAAGGGTACCTGACCTTGTCGAGAACCATCCAGCCTCCTCAGCGCAGAAGGGGTTGTCCAGCTTGCACTCGTATGCGATGAACACGCCCTTCGGAGGGGAGGCGGTGTCGCCGTTGATGAACCTCACGGACGCCAGGTACTCTTTTCCCCAAATGGGCGTATAGAGAGGACGGCACTCCCAATCGATAACGCCAGTGTCGGGGTTCACGCAATCCTTGATCCAAGAACCGAAGTCGATGCCTATCTGAGCGTTCCTCCTGACGTTCATTAGTGTCCAAGTGCTCATGTCTCCCATCTCGTCCGTAAATCTGTCAGACGATTTGTATTGAAACGCAAATGCGAAGAGATCCTTGATCGCGTACGCATCATTATCATCGATGAGATCAAGAAGGGCCTCCGATGGTCCATCCGGTAGCGCCGCCAGCTGCGCCGCTTTCACCTTAGGATGGACTTTGCCGACAGATTTCCCAGCCCAAGTCAAATCAATTTTGACAGGAGAGTCAGCAGAGCCCGAACCGCTACCATTCTTGGTCACGGTTTTGCCCACGAGGCCGCTCTCGATCTGGCCCCGCAACTCTGGTGCTTGCTGTGGGTGCTTCATCATATAGTCGATCACGCGGATGGTGGCGTTTCGAAACCTGACCCTCGAGTTCGTCTCATTGGTGTCCCTTATCGGCTTCATCTTGGGAACCGACAAAACAAACGTACAGAACGTCTCTCCAGCCTTAGTCTCGGCACCACGTGTCCAAAGGCCGCTCATGATATCAAGTGTCCAGAGAGACGCGTGGCAAGCTGGACAAAAACACAAAAATAAGCTTGAGCCAAAATGGTTACGCATACGATGGAAAGGAAGTGGCGACACACCGCGAATTCCACGCCCCTCAATTATTCAATTCCTACATGGGGCATTTTGAGTAAAGGAAACGACCAGAGACGTCCGCCCCTTCTGGCACCAAAGACACATGTTTCTCGCAGACAAAGGATGACCAATACATCAGAGTATGTCATTGCGCTACGTAATGTCAGCATGCGTTGGCATACGCTGGAATCCGAGGTCTCGCGACGAACGCGCGTTTGACCGTAGGGGAATGCACGAATACACAAAATCATACTTGTTGCTTTTATTCATTCATGTTTGCAAATCGTGCTCCAGCCTTAAGAACAGTTACACTAAATAACCTATATCCCCTGAATATACCACTATCGTATGAATATGACTGTTCTCGTTGTGTGACTATTGTGGCGTGGCTATATGTGATTACTGCGTGCGCGTGTGGGGTCGGCGCTGGGGCCATGCGAACGGCCCCACGGTTATGGTTACATGTTTTCGTCCTGTGAGCTACGGCTGGGCCGCCGGAGGGCTGGCAAAAGAACAGAGCAGCAAGTCTCGCGGCCTTTAACATATGCTCTGTGAACATCTCGGCCGCCATGCAACTCACCATTCGTCCGTCTCTGTCTATCTGGTGATCACTATGCTCTGACAGAAAACGGTAAGAATCACCGACGGGGTGCTGCAACTTGCGGTAAAGACATGCACCATCAAGAATCATGGTGCGCGGGCATATCCCCGCGGCCTTATAGTCCTCAATCTGATGGTTCATCTGTGGCCAAACAAGGGTGGCCACGTCATCCCACATCGGGTCGACATCGGAACCGCCATCCGGGGACTGCCAACACCTATGATCTCCGCCAATGAACAAGATCTCGATCGCACCATGAGGCGAACGCTTAACCGCGCCGTCTATGATGCGATCAGATGTCTCGAGCATTACTCGGAGGGCTCCAGCGAGAAGCGCCGGGTTCTCGTCCCGCTTCCCCTCGACACGAACGCCAAGCAAATTGTATGTCGACTGGTCGGCAATGTCATTAAAGGACCAAAAGACAAACCGCACTGGAGTATGGACCCCTTTCTCATAATATTGATGCCCGGGGCCCGACCATTTGCGCGACTGGGCGGCTTCCTGGAGGTCGGGGCCTTTGCAGCCGCCCGTTACATTAGCGGACATGCCATGAACAAGCTCGTGCATGAAATGTTTGACATGAAAGCTTGACGTGGCGTTCTTTCCGGCCGCCGTTTTGAACGAGACCGTAGAATCACAAACAAGATGAACAGAGCAAGACAAAACTTGTACTTCTTGAGCTGCATCTTGCACAAAGGGTGGGACAAGTCATTGGGGGGCCGTCCAGTCGCCAACGTGGCCGCAATGTCCTCGCCGACAAATGGGATCCATGAGTGCCCATTCTGGCGGGCAACCTGGGTTATTGCCTGGCGCTTTTCTCGGAACGACTGATTGTTCGTCCAGGCCTTCGTAGGGGGGTCAGTCATGTCAACATAAAGCTGAAGAAACTCAGACACGCAAGCTTCCCACTCGTGTGTGGGCGGTTTGACGTCCTCCGCGAATTCACCCCTGTGCCAATGGTAGTCGAGGACGTTCCAGGCACCGCGCCCAAGGTAGGGCGGGCCCTTTCCTTCGTCATCGGCTTCCATTGGTCCCGGGTCAGGAGGCCCACCCCCGCCACCGCCCCCAGGGGGGCCACCAGTGGGCGGAGGGTTCCCTGTGGGAGAGCCACCTGAGCATGGCGGGGCCCCTCCACCACCGGCTGGGCCGGGGGGGGGGGGCCGCCGCCAGCCCCGCCATCGGCTTGGCCGGGCGGGGCAGCTGAACTTGAGGCCGACCCAGCGGATGGTCCGCCAGCCGCCTGCCGCCCAGCGCCTCGATTGTCCAAAGGCTTCGGTGGCATAGAGCCGACCGATGGAAGCGACATCACAATGTTCGCTTGATTGCTGGCCGAGCCGACTGAGTCGGCCGGCAGCTCCGCTCTCAAGCTTAGCCTTTTCGGCGCCTTGGCCGGATCCTCCCCTTTTTCTCTGGGGGGCCCCTCTAGGGGCGCCTCAGGTTCTGGCTGCTCAAGATCTGCGGGCGAAAATGGCTTTTCGCTAGCAGCGACTGGGTCGCGCTGCTCAGCCACAGTCTCAGTGATTGGCGGAGCGTGTGGCTTCTCATTCGAGCCAACACCCCCTCCAAGCCCGACGCTCGCGAGCCATGCCTGAAAGTCGCAGGGGCGCGAGCGACAAGGAATAGCCGTACGCCAGGCCACAGCCTGCTCCGGAGAAGACTGAAAGTAACTGGCTCTGGCTGACTCAGTGAGGGCCTCCTCGACCACATGCGCTGGCACGTAGAGGTGGCCCTTAGCAACAGGCAGGGCAAACATGGCACCCCATCCGACCCAGCGGCTTGGCCGCGGGGCGGGGTGTGCATGGAGGGGCCCCAAATGTTCAACCAGACAATAGGGGGGCCCTCAGTCCTAGTGTCTACCACTGGGACACTAACGGAGTCACCGAAGCTCGTCAGACGCCTCTTGGCTGGGCCAACGGTGGGACCTACGACTTCTCCTCTCCGGAGCGTGCGGACATACTGGCTGGACTGCCCTGGCTCTTTCGCGTGCAACTTGCAAACCATTTTCGTGGTCTCATCAGTGTATGACTGAAAATAAGTGCCCTCAAGAATCTGCTCAACCTTAGGGGGGGCGCAATCGAAACGGCACGTTGCTCTTCTATCGAATGTCGTCCAACGGGTGACCCACGGGTCCTGCGAGACACGAGAAAACAGACGGTCAAATATCGCATGTGAATTGGCAGCCAAGTCTTTCTTTAACGCGGTAACGACTTGGTCGCCCCGCGAATGCAAGATGTCGCGCCGCCACATCGCGCGGCGCCAGTTCCACCCCTTTGTGCGCAGGGGCAAGGCAGCCACTCCATCACAAGGTCTGATCCACGCAGTCTTGGTGAGCCAACAGAGAAAGATAGTCTGCTCCTCGTGGGCATTGCGCCTCCCGCGAGAGGAGGCAGCTGTCCTTTTGGCTGACTTATCGTTGTCAGCAACAGCCGGAGCACCTCTTTTGCGAGCTGCAATCTCCGCTGCGCGAATCTCAACGCCGCCCTCCACTTCGATGTCCGCATCCATCATAACATCGCTAGGGCTACAAGGATCAAGCATTCTCCCAGCCGGCTGGGCCGACGGGATAGCGCCCCCACTCGGCTGGGCCGATGGGGGCGCTTTTTTGTCCGCATTGAGAGGGGCCTCTCCTTTTTGTCTGGCTGGGGATTCGTCGCCATCGGACAAGTCCGAGGCGGGTTCATACATGAGATCGTCGGAGCAAACCGAAGTCATGGCTACCCCTGACGGCTGGGCCGCTGGGATATCCAGCGGTTGACACATGGATGGGTTCAGCCAGTGACCAGTCGGGCGCGCGGGGCCGCGGCAGGCGGGGCCCGCGCAGCCGCAACGGGGCGGCAGCGCGGTCCGGTGGGGAGGCCGGCCGGCGGGTGGCCCGCGCAAGCTCTGGAGACAAAGCGGCAGCGGCACATATGGAAATATAAGTGGAGACATAATGATGACGAGATGAGAACGTGCGCTCAGCAGCACGAGCAACAACAATGCAAACTTGCTGGGCAAAAGCATCAATATAATCCTCTGCTGACTTACAATTTTTGCCTCTGGCCTCAACATGCTCATGCGTGCCGTCAGATCTGCGCTCGAGTCCCTCAATCACGTCATGAAATGTGGATGCAATCGTCCAAGGCTTTCTCATGAAATTACCCTTTCTGTCCCTCAAACCATGCGCACACCCGTGCAAGGCCGTTTTGACAAAACCTAGCTCTCTCATGAACTCGTTCACCTGGGAGCCCCTCCAATAATTACACTGAGTAGGCCACTCAAGACAAACTGTACCCCCGCTTTGTGCACAGCACGGGCAATCTCACGGAAGTTCCCAAACAGATATCTAAAGTCGGTCCTAATCCCTCGAAGCCTGCGCGTCGCTCTATGATTTCCAATGCGAAAACAAGGGGCACGCGTGCCAAGGATCATACAATGACGATGTGGGTCCATGGGAGATGGAGAAAACCAGGGATCGCGAGGGAGGCAGTCCTTGGCAGGCGCCGGGAAGCGCGCCGCAATTGCTGCGACACGTTGGCAAGGGACAGATTCGAAGACGGGAAGGGGCGGCTAGAAGCATGTCAGTTTGGGTATGGAGGAAGGTCGCTTGTCCTCTGTCTCGTCCTCCTTCTCCCCCTCCTCACCTCCACTTTCTCCTGTCCCGCCTCTCTTCCTCCTCCTGGTTCTCGACCTCCTCCTTGTCCTCCCCCTCTCTCCACCTTCTGGGGCGGTGCGGCGCGTGGCGGCGGAGTCGCCCTCGCCGTCGGCATGCGGCCGGGCGCGCTGCGTCCTCGTCCTCCTCCTTCTCGTCCTCCTCCTCCCCCTCCACCTCCGCCTCCCCCCCCTCCCCCTCCGCTTCCTCCTCCGCCTCGCCGTCCTCGCCTCCGACCCGAGGCTGGCCCAGGCAACTCATCCTCGCCTCGGGCCCGAGGCTCGCTCACCGAGCGGCGGGCGGCGGCGAGCTTCCCGGCCGCCTGGCCTGTCCGCCGGGGTCGCCTCGGAAGGGCCCCAGAGGCCCAAGGCGGTCCAAGAGGCTCCAAAGAGGCCTCCAAGACAGCCCAAGAGGCCTTCAAGAGGTCGTCTAGGAGGGCCCGAAGAGGCCAAAATCATTGATTTTCTTTGGGTTTGGGAAGGATTTGGTCATTTGCGCCTTTTCGGCTTTCCGACGGTCCAAGACGGCCCAAGAGGCCCCCAAGATCGCCCCAAAATTGCCCAAGAGGCCCCCAAGATGGCCCCATGACGG